GGACTTACGCTGTAGTTTCTTGTCCTCCACCTTGAGATCCAGTGCTGTAGAAAATCCCAGCAGGTTTTCCAGCAAGCTGCTGCATTCTCCATAAGCTTCCAGTAGCATCAAAAAATGCTTTGAATTGAGCAGCCATCATACCAAACCTTGTGGGAAATCCAAATACAAAGCCATCAGCCTCAGCAAGTTCGTTGGGTGTTATAATAGGCACATCACTCTTTGAAGGTGCACCCATCTTTGTGAGTACCTCATCTGGTAGTGTCTCAGGGACCTGTGCGGCATAGAAGATGTTATCAATAGAAATCTAAGATTTCGAACAGGGTACGCCATGAACCAACATCGAGCAAGGAGAGTTATGCCATCAATATTGTTTTCTTCTTTCCGAAAGGTCTCAGGATATCTCTCGTTCTTTTTCTCATTAACAATCCTAGCTCATTTGCTCCAACTTGGAAAAGGTTAAAACACCCCCAGACCCAAACTGTGGTCTCGACATTGCTTATTATACATGTGTGCAGTTGTTGGGATTTGAATAAATATGACTAAAAAATTAAAGAGTAACAAACCCAGGTTTCTATTCTCTACCAGATAAAAGGGTTATCCTCCAATGCAATAACTGAAAAACATAAACAATCATTTTTTGAAGAAAACACAAAAAGTTCAATTAGTGCATAATTATATTTCCAACTCATTGTCTGATTTGAATAAAGCTATGACTAGGTTATATGCACTTATATGGAAATTGATATCAAATGACAATGTCAAGGTTACTTGGTAGGAAAAAGATGACTACCCTGAAAAACTCTAGAGATTTAAATCCAAGGACTCAAACTGGACAGCTGAGATATATTAACTAATGAATCATGTCCTAAGGAATTTTAACTCCAGTAGAAGACATGCAAATTTTAAATCTGATAATTGTAAACATTTTGTTAATCTGCAATGTGTAACTCATGATTGGCTTGGATTGACAATGTCAATCCATATAGTTACTTTCTTGAGCTTTCTCGTCTTTTCTATCATTTTAAGCTTTTATACAATATGGTTAACGTGGTATCAAAGTCAAACAAAACTTGGGTTCAAGTCACCACCACCCATTTCAGGAAAATTGTCTCATGTCAGACCTTTAATAATCTGGCCTGCACGTGATGGGTTGTGTCCGAAAAAAATTTAAATAACTAATGTCCCCCTTTTCTAACAATTTAAACTTTTAAATAAGATGGTTAACATTTTTCTTCTTAAGTTTTTAAATATTCCACGAGACATGGCAAGGGCAGGATAGTTCCTACCTGCCATATTTTGGCTTCAACTCCTTCAACAGATGCAGCCCCTTTCTTTATCTCTTCTGCTAGTTTCTCTACATGTCCATACATGGAATAGTACCTATAAAAAATGTGAAATCAGATCATCAATATAATTCATGTTACCAAAAGACGAAAAACAATACAAATATTTTATTTTAGTAATATCTCACCATTGCATGCATAAAATCAACAAATTATGTATAATCTCACGCTCATTCATCATAAAACAAAAATACATATCATGATTTCTTAGAGAACCATGAGTCAGAAAAAGAATCACGAGTATATTGGCCGGAGCCATGAGCATATTATCTGTGTGAATATAGATAATGTTTTTCTTCATACTTTCAGAGCAAATAGATTTTGTCTTAATCAGTGTCCTGCCCTGTGATTGCGCCAGTACGGACCAACATTCCATCCTCTTAAAGTCAATATTACGTCATCAGACATCTGTCCAGTTTAATTCCATGAATATGTTGATGCATTGTTCAACAACAGTAGACATCGCGGAAAATCAAGAAAATATGGCAAAATTTATGCTGCAAGAATTAGCTTTTGCAGGGACATTTAGTCAGACCACATCATAAACCAAATAAGCCAACTTCAACTAGTACAAGGACATTCCATATTATTTTAGGCAGTGTCTAGCCAATCTGAACCAAAACACCCGAGATCTCTCCCAAGCGCAAAATGCTGCATCCACCTTCGAATCATTCTTCAATGGGCTTCAACCTAAACTCCTAAAGTTGCAAACAGGTTCTTTAGCACTCTAGAAATTCATGGTGACAGACAGTTTTCATAAAAACAAAGAGAAAAATAACTGATACAATATAGATGGACTTAACAATACAATGAACATATCAAAATGAGAACAGTGATGTGGTAGGAAAACATAAATGAAGACAAATGCTTCATCCACCTTCGAATCATTCTTCAACGGGCTTCAACCTAAACTCATAAAGTTCTAACCTGAATCTAATGCAAACGGGTTCTTTAGCACTCTGGAAATTCACGGTGATGGATAATTTTGATTAAAAAAAGGAGAGAGAAAAATAACTGGTACAATATAGATGGACTTAAAAATACAATGAACAAATTCAAATGAGAACAATGATGTAGTAGAAAAACATAAATAAAGACAAATTGATGCAACGAGGCATTGCAGGAAATTATGAAATAAAGCTGAAAATTACACATGTTCCCTTCCATTGATGAATCTTGTCTACTAGAACTTTTAGATGTGAAAATTGATTGTGATGCGTAACTAGAATATCAGCTACATGAAACATTCTACTGCAAAAGCTATCATTTGCTCTATCAAAGTCAAGCATGCTCACTAAGCAGAAGCAACTTATATGTTTACAAACATTGATGTACTACCTCATGTGTGAAGTTTTGAAATATAAAAGATATGAACAAAATTGAATGAAGCTGAAAAAAGTATGTGTTCATTACTTCAAAATGAAGAATTCGGTTAAAATGTACAGTGAGCTACAATGGGGAATATATACAGCAATGAAAGGAATCTTTCCTAACAAACTACCTAACAAACACGTGAAAAGAAAGGAAATGAAACAATACAATTTTGTGTAAAATCGGCCTAACTAATCAGAATTCTAGATTATTATTCCGTTGAGTCTTTGTCACCAATCCACCTTGGCTCTCTTCTTGCTGACTGTGTACATGATTCATCATATTGGAATCTTGCATTTCAATAGCCCCCCGCAAGATAGAGAGTGGATATTCATCACTCCCATCTTGGATAGGCATGAATAAAAATTTTGTGAACCTAAGGATTTGCTTAAAACATCGGCAATCTGAGAACTACTGGAAACATGTTGAGTCACGATGCTCCTATCTTGGATCCTGTCTCGAACCAAGTGACAATCGAGCTCAATATGTTTGGTTCTTTCGTGAAAGACTGGATTTGTAGCTATATAGATGGCAGCTTTATTGTCACAGCTTAGGACAGCAGCTTCAGGATGTTCGATCTTCAAGTCTTTAAGTAAGTATCTAAGCCAAGTGATTTCACAACATAGGTTAGTCATTGCCCTATATTCCGCCTCCGCAGAAGATCGAGACACCACATGTTGTTTCTTCGATTTCCATGATATTAAGGCTTTGCCAATGAAGACACAGTAACCAGTCACTGACCTTCTGGTATCAACACAAGCCCCCAATCTGAATCACAATATCCATCTAGCTGTATGTTCGAATTTACAGGGTAAAATAGTCCTTGACCTGGTGTTCTCTTGATGTACCTTAAAACTTTATGAGCAGCATGTAGATGTGGAATTCTAGGACTCCCCATAAAACGACTTAATAGTTGGATAGAGTAGGCGAGATCTGGTCTGGTGATGGTTAGATATAGCAATCTTCCTACCAATCTCCTGTAAAGTGATGGTTCAGGTAGCAACTCTCCTTCATCTTTGCTAAGCTTTATATTTTGATCAAGAGGAACTCTGGCAGGAGCAGAGCCAATAGTGCCTGAATCCTTTAAGATATCTAGAGCATATTTCCTTTGGCAAATGTGGATTCCATTTCTAGTTCTTGCAACTTCAATACCTAGGAAGAATTTTAATTTCCCTAGGTCTTTGATTTTGAATTTATCATTGAGAGAGACCTTAAGCTCATTAATGGTATCAATACAATTCTCAGCAATTATTATATCATCGACATATACTAGTATCGCGGTAAACAAATCACCAGTTAAGTTGATAAACAGGCTGTAATCAGCCTTTGATTGAATGTAACCTTTTTCAACAATAAAATTGGAGAGTTTTGAATACCATTGGCATGAGGCTTGCTTCAATCCATAGCTACTCTTCTGCAACTTGCATACTTTGTTTCCATCAGCATTGGAGTAGCCAGGGGGTAGTTCCATATAGACATCCTCATCCAATTCTCCATGCAAATTCCGCAATAAATGTAGTTTAACTCACAAGTTCCATCCCTTGATGGCTGCAACTGCAAGTAAAGTTCTGATGGTGATCAATTTGGCTATAGGGGAAAATGTCTCATAATAATCAAGCCCCTCTTGTTGTGTGTATCCTTTAGCTACTAATTGTGCTTTAAATCTCTCAACACTACCATCTGCATTGAATTTCACCTTGTAAACCCACTTACAACCAATTGCTTCTTTACCAGGAGGTAGTTTGGCCAAGGTCCAAGTATCATTAAGTTCAAGAGCCTTAATTTTAGCTTTCATAGCAGCACACCATTCAGGAGAGGATAAGGCTTCCTGATAGATCTTAGGTTCTGTGTGGCTTATTATTGAAGTGGCAAAAATACGATGATGAATGGATAGTTTATCATAGGAAACACTATCAGAAAGTGGAAAAATATTCCCTGTAATCTCAGCTTCCTTCTTGCTGTTGAGTTTCTAGAATGGGGGAAGTGAGGATGCATGTTGACACATGAAATCCTGCAAGTGAGAAGGAGCTTTTCGAATTCTGTTGGACATGCCAGGTAAATAGCTGATGACTGGTGTATTTGACTCTATGTTATCAGTGACTGACTGATCAGTGTTCTGAATTGTGTCTTCATGAGAATTGAAGGATTCAGAATGATTCATAATATCATGTTCACCATTATAATTGGTGTTGCCAAACGAAGAGGTAATGGAATCATTGCTAATGACAGGGTTTTGTGTAAAGCTTAGATGATTGAAGTCAGTCAAGGGTGTATTTTTGTTAGGATTTATATATGAAAGGAAAAATATTTTTCATGGAAGTCAACATTTCTTGAGATGAAAACTTTATTTGTTCTTAAATCTAGCAATCTATACCCCTTTACTCCAAATGGATAGCCAATGAAAACACACTCCCTAGATCTATGATCAAATTTATGTCTGCCACATACAAGGGTGGTGGCAAAGGCTAGACAGCCAAAGACTTTCAAATGACTATACTTAGGCTTGATTTTGAATAACACTTCAAATGGACTTTGGTTGTTTAAAACGGGAATTGGTGTTCTATTAATTAAATATACGGCTGTCAATACAAAATCATTCCAGAATTTTAGTGGTAGTTTGCTCTGAAATTGTAAAGCCCTTGCCACATTCAAAATGTGTTGATGTTTTCGTTCTACCACCGCATTTTGTTCAGGTGTTTCAACACAAGTCCTTTGGCGTATTATCCCCCTTTTAGAGTAAAAATCTGTCATGTTGAACTCCCCTCCATTATCAGTTCTAATAGTCTTAATTCTAGTCTCAAACTGATTCTCAATCATGGCACAAAAATTCTGCAAAGTTGTGGTGGCATCAAATTTAAAAACAAGCATGTAAACCCATTACAAAGCTGTGGTGGCATCATATTTAAAAACAAGCTTGTAAACCTAGTGCATCTACTAAAATCATCAACAATAGATAAGAAATATCTAGAGCCATCTCTACTCAATTCATTACAAGGTCCCCAAATGTCGCAATGGAATAATTCAAAACACTTTCTTGATTTGTGGTGATTGATGTTAAAAGGCAATTTGTGTTGTTTTGCTAAAGGGCAAATAGGACAATGACTTACACTAAGAGACACAAGAATGTTTTCCTCAAGGATGAAATCAAAGACTGAAGAGTGTCCTAATCTGTAGTGCCACAATACAGATTCCTCATTATGTTTAGCAAGTTCAGAAGTGGAGGACAGACACTTGAATCGATTGAAAGCATTTGATAAAGCTCAGGGTGAAACTTGCTTTTTCACCATGTGATAGAGTCCACCTTTCACCTCACCCATTCCAGTCGTTCTCCAGCTCGAAAGGTCCTGGATATAAAAGCAAGTAGAGAGGAAAATAAGACAACAATTCTCAGTTTGAGCAAGCTTTCTTGCTGAAATCAAATTAAATGAAAAACTAGGAATGCAAAGCACGCTATGTAGAGTGATATCCTCTGAAATTTTAAGAGTCCCAACATGTGTGACAGGGACATTTTTTCCATTTGGTAGTCCTACATAGTAAGACACTTTAGCTTGAATTGATGTAAAAAATGAGGTGGAGCAGATCATGTGATCTGTTGCCCCAGTGTCAAGGATCCAAGGAATTTCAGAAATGGTTCCTTGATCATAGTGATAGGTGGTTAGGCTTAATGGTATACCAGATATCTTGTGTTTAAAATCAGCAGGTGGTAGATGATTAGCTGGTGTCTGAGGATTGTTTGGTGAGAACAGAGGTTGCTGGGGACTAGTTACTGGTCTGATGACTGCCATCAACTGAGAGTATTGCTCTTCACTTAAGAATATTTGGCCTTTGTCCTTCACTGCTTCCTGATTAGGTGGTGTTCCTGCAGAGACTATGTTAATAGCAGCTTTTCCCTTATCATAAAACCTCTGTCCTTGTAGATATCCATTCAGCTTATAACACCTATCCGCTAAGTGTCCTGGCATCTGGCAATAAGAGCATGGTGACTTGGGATTTGCCTTGAAGCACCTATCAAAAGAATGGCCCGCAATCTTGCAATGAGTGCAGTAGTATCGATCCTTTTTCTGTGAGGAGGAGTTTTGGTTTCCTGTCTCTCTATAGTTCCTACTGCTCAGCAGGGCCATGGAATCTGAATTGATAGGATTAGGATTTGATATCTCTCGCCTTTTCTCCTCTTGTTGAACCAAAGAATATACTTCATTCAAACTAGGAAATGGTTTGATCAGTAAAATATAGGCCTTAATTTCTTTATAGGAGTCATTCAAACCCATCAAAAACTTCATGACCTAATTTCTCTGTTGATTTTCAACAACTATCTTCATTCCTCCACATGTGCAATTAGGAATATTCTCATAATTTAATAGCTCATCCAAAAGGATTTTGAGCTTGGAATAATAAATACTTACAGAATCCTGATTTTGCATCAGAGTGGTGATGTCCTTCTTAACCTCAAAAATACGTGGAGCATTTTGTTGGGAAAACCTTTGCTCAAGGTCCAGTCAAAGGAGGTGGGCTGTCTCAGCATAAATAGTGCTGCTCTTAATGTCGATTGCCATGGCATTTTGCATCCAAATTATGACATTGTCATTACACCTTAGACAATGTTCCATTAAAGGATCACTGGGATCGTTTGGTTCGCACAGAGAACCATCAATGAATCCCAATTTGTTTTTGATCCTTAATGCTCTTCTCATTGAGCGGGCCCAAGAGTAGTAGTTGCTTGAATCCAAGACATGAGTGACGAGTATAAGATTTCCTCCATCATTGCTTCCTATATAATAAGGGCTGCTGGGATTTGCTGGATCATGAGGAAGGACAGTTGAGTTCCTTTCCTCTGTTGTTTGAGTATTCTGAATTTGGTTTGGATTGGCGTTTGTGTTTGCTGAATTTGATTCTTCCATTTAATTGCTCTGATACCAACACTTCAAAACTTTATATTTTCTAATGAACAAAATTGAATGAAGCTGAAAAAATTATGTGTTCATTACTTCAAAATGAAGAATTCGGTTAAAATGTACAGTGAGCTACAAAGGGGAATATATACAGCAATGAAAGGAATCTTTCCTAACAAACTACCTAACAAACACGTGAAAAGAAAGGAAATGAAACAATACAATTTTGTGTAAAATCGGCCTAACTAATCAGATTTCTAGATTATTCTTCTATTGAGTCTTTGTCACCAAGCCACCATGGCTCTCTTCTTGCTGAATGTGTAGATGATTCATCATACTGGAATCTTGCATTTTCAATATCATGGGCATTATCAATATAATGAAATTAGTCAACCTATAGTTAGTAAGATAATATTACTAGCACAAATAATATTCATACAATCATAACATTGATCAATTTGTTTGCGTTGTTCAGATTTCTGTCAAAAGCTCTAGGCGCCCCTATTACTGCATCCAAAGGATTTTTTCTCAAGCCAAAAGCAATCAGATTTAATTCTATTTTAGTTAAACCCTTTTACCTCGATCAACCAACAATCAACTTGGGCACTTACAGAAGATAAAAGAAGCTTACGACACCAAGAATCACAAATCAATACTCAAAACAATAAGCACGAGCTTGAAGAAACATTTTGATAATCTACAAATCCAAAATTCAAATAGAAAAACAAAAAACAAAGAGAACCCATCAAACTACTAAAACAATTTCACCAGTATGAAAACAATTCAACGTCAAACTGCAAATTCAATTCAAGAAAGCAGAGTAAAAATATTCAAAGAACCAGAAAATTGTTGGCGAAACATTTTGCTTACACAATGTAAACTTTGATGGCCATTGATTAAGTGCGAGCCTTTTTTTCTCAAAAGTGGGTAAAACGCGTTTGAAAAGGTGAGAATTAAGATTGAGCTTCAGAGGTGGACTCCCCATTTTATACTAGCGCACGGTTCCCAGTTTGTAATAGTGTTCTGTGATTAATTAATTTAATCAATTTAATTAATGGCCTATTTGGAATTTTATCACACTGATTTGAACGTTTTTTAAAGTATCAATTTTGAACGTTCATGAATCGATCGATTTTGAGTGATTTTAGTAATGATTTTTAAAACTCTCCGAACTATATTTGAGAATATATTATTCACCGATTCTGAATAGTTTTTAAACAAATAAAATTACGTAAATATACTTTAATAAAATTTTCTTTTGTGTAAATTTGGATTACATATGCTAAGCAGCTGCTAATGTGTAACTAGTCAATGATGATTGAGTTGTTGTCACGCTCAAGTTCATAATGTGTCATCATTTTTCTTCAACTAATTTTTGTGCATGTTTGACCAGGACAAAAATGATAAAACTTTAGCCCTGTTTGGCAACCATTAAGATAAAACTCCTTCGCCCTATAACTTATTTTCAATCACATATTCTCTCAATATATTTTACACATAAATCTATTTTTAACCATACATTCTCCTAAAACTCATCACTTCAAAACTTATATTTCTCAAAAAACTCATTTTAATAATTGTCAAACAAGAGCTAAATAATTTATCTTAGATGACATGCGAATAATTTATCAATTTCGACGTTCTTAGCTACCTTTTGTACTAAAAGTTGGATCATCCAAGCCACGACGTGATCTACAACTTTTATCCTACTTTGGACGGAAAATTAGATTATTCAAATTACGACAAGACTAAAATATTTATCCTTTACATGAATTGACCTATTTTTCTTCGTTTTCGTCATGTTCAACTCGAACGTAAGATAAATATTTTGAATTTCTTTCACCATGATAACGCTGAAATTTTTGTGTTATCACATTGAAACAGTTATCTTTTCTTTTTATTAAAATTAGGAATTATAATGATGACCTATCACTATTGTCTTGAAATAAATCCTTTTTTCATTATATTGAGGGATCTAATCTGAACAAATTACTAAGTCAGAAATTATATTCTGTTCTCACTTAAAATTCAAGAAAATAATCATTTAATGCTTTGCCATAATCAAAAAAGGCCCCACCAAGAAAGTGATCATAATTTGGCTTCTGTTTCAAGAATCCACACATTTTCCTAACTCCAAACCATTATTTCATGTCTCCTTTATTTTCTTTCTTGCAATTCAAATATGTGGATTCTAAATTTTTTTTTAGAATAATGCTATTCATCCCCAGTAGGGTTGTAACCCCAGTCTATGTAGCTCTAAATGATAGGCTAAGTGAAAGGTGGAATTAAATGACTTATTTAATTTCACCTATCATTTAATGTCACATTAACGTCACCAGACTGAGGTTGTAACTCCAGTGGGACTAAATAGCATTGCTCTTTTTTTTTTTATTCATTTCTACATGAATCAAATGATTGTTGAATATGCTAGCCATCATAAGAGTAAATCATCACCGATCTAGGGGGCCATATTCCCTGATATATCGTCCAAAAGAAGTGCAAAAGAAGTTAATGAAAGGGGAGTTCAAACAAAATAACCAATAAGCCAAGTTTTGTCCATTTGCAACCCAAACAACACTTTTGGCTGGGATATAGACATATTGTTATAGTAAATCCCCAAGTTCTTGTCCTTGGAATCACCTGACAGAAAATCCAAGTTCGAAAATTCAGATGATTCGATCCCGCTTTCTTGTTCATAGCCAAAAAAGTTCACGCTGTTTCAGAAAGCTAATAGAGTGAGTAAATTAAACAGTCTTATCAATTTATCTTGGAACCCCACAGAGAAGAAAATAAAATAATACGAACATTTTGGAGAATACGACAGCTACTACTTCCTTAGAAAACCATAACTAACATGATTATTCATGTTATTTGATAAAATTTCAGTGAGTGGAGCCTGTAATTTGGATCAAAAAGTCAAGTATATTAACAAATCATTAAGCATGTTCATCAAAGTCTTAATCTAATAGTTTCAAAATGACCAGATCAATACACACAAATTGAACTATAAGAAGAATATCATTAACAAAACAGAAAACGAGGCCAGTGACATTATCAAATAGATTCAGTGATCCACAAACTAAAGCCATTGGAACCACAATCATGGCTAGACTGGCTAGTTCTACCGGCAGTTGAGTTTGCTGTTAATGGTGCAATTTTAATCAGCAAGAATTTAATGCAGGATGGCACTCGGCCTACATCTGAACTCGTGTTTTAAGAGAAAAATTTAACTTGTAGTTGTAGGACACAAGCAAAGCACCCTAACATCGTGATCAAATTGAGATATGTACCTTGCTTTGAAGCTGATTTTCATAAATATGATCCTTCCTGTCATTATAGAACTGCCTAATAACAACCACATTGCAAAACCATTAGGGCACATCAGCAACCTCGTCTGCTATTTGACATTTGAATTAGCCATACAAGAAAAGATTCTTCAAGCATGTGTGCCTGTACTTTTTGAGGTCTATGATTTTGTTAAATTAAGTATTTGGTTGTTTCATGCCAACAAAGTAACGTTAACACCAGAGGCTCAATAGATTTTCTTTTATAAAATCTTTCCATGACTACACAATTAAAGTTATGAACTCCAAAGAGGTAAAGCTTCTTACAAGATTGGGCCGATTGTTTGGCCCATTCCTTTTTTTTTAAAAAAAACTTACGTGGATTGAGGGCTTATATTCTTAAATGGGATGACCCAAATTCCAGTGCACGCAGATGCCTGCACTGGGACTACATTGGGTCCGCCCCTAGTTAACACCGCCAATTTTGAAGTCAAACTCTGGATTTAACTTCAACTCAAGAGCACCATTGATCTCAGGCCATTTCATGATACGCCTCAAAAGTACCTTATGGTGTCCTCCTACAATTTATGCAAATACTCGTTTAGTTCTATTTGAATGCTTAATTTTCCCGAATATGGATCTAGGATTCTTCCATTAAGGCATGTTGTCAAGTCCCATCCAAGAAGTTGTGGAGTTGGTCGTGGATTGATGATCGAATAAGGTGTTGCGATAAAGAAGAAGATGAAAATGGATTTTTAATTTTAATTATTTGATTTTAGTTATTTTATTATAAAAAACGTAAAGTTACAATTTTAACCTTTTAAAATTAGTCAAAATTATTGTCAATGTCAATTATTTGGTCAACTTACGGAAACCATCCATTTGGATTTCAGCTGCGATATTTTGAAATGTTTGATACCGTTGGTGGTACAAATGAAATATTTGGGTAAAGTCTACTAATAAATGTAATGTTTGGTACCGCTACTGCAATTATCTCTCATTATTATCATAAGAAAGATAGAAAGAGAGGCTATAGAAGATGGGAGTGCGATTTTCTCTTTTAAACTTTTCTTCATCATAGTGAATTACTACATCAAAGACAGAAAATGTAGTCTCACATTGAGGCGAACCTATATAAATTTTGAATATTATTGAGCATTTATTTTTCTTTTTTTGAATTGATTGCTCTCGATGAAATAAAATTAGAGTTTATAATTTTCAACAGTTTCGAAATTGGTAACTATGTGGATAATCAAACCAATCTCGCCATTACATATAAAATTTCCATATGCAAGCTACCATTTGAACTTGTCAACATTACTCCATTGAAATTAGGGAAAATTGCAGTTCCGGTCCTTAACATTTTCAATTTTTTTTTACACACTTTATGTTAACCTTCAATTTGTGCTAGTAGAGGTTCATAACCTTTCATAAATATGCACCTCAAGTCCATCTGGATAGAAATCGTCAGTTGACCGAGAAAAGTGGACTTTGACCAATTTTCATCAAATTGAGGGGGGTAAATTGGTAACTTTGTATACTTATAAATATTGACAAGTAAAATAATAAAACTAAAGAAAAAAAAAAGAAATTTACCCCAACACCTCCATCCCACCCACTCTCTATCTTCATCTTCTCCAACCAACGACATTGATTTTCAACCATGGCCAACCATAGACATCTACCAACATGTCGCCACACCACCCACGACCACGACTATGACCACCTCCGTCACCATCCTCCAACCCCACACCACACCGCATTTCAAACCACCCCCAACCAAAAATCATGTCAAGGTTGGTAAAAGTCCCACCCCATCCCATCCCATCCCATCCCATCCCATCCCATCCCACCTATATATTCACTCAACAACCTTCAAATTTCCACACCTTCCCAAGGAGTCTGCAACACAAAATCATACTTCGAAACCCCAGTTGAGTTGTTCTATTTCTTTTGGGAGTCTAAATTTTTGGGCTTTAAGAGTGGAGAAAAATTGGAGAAAAAGAAGGAAAAGAAAGAAGAGAGATGCTTGATGTACACTCTTGAGTGTACATCATGCATAACACTCCTCTCACAATGGTGGGGGCCCGTAATTTTAAAAATTGTGGACCCCACACTCTCTTGTAAGAGCTCACATTCAGAATTAGTACACAAGAGTGTACATTAAGACTTATACAAGAAAGAATGGTTGGAATCCATTTCTGATTTCAGTTTCAAATTTTATTTTCTTGTCTAGATTTTTCCAGTTAGGGAAATTCTAGGATGGACTTGCCTCCGTATTTTTTTTCTGCCTTGCTTTTTGTAATTGGAGAAGATGAAGATAGGAGGTGGCTAGGGTGGAGGTGTTGGGATAAATTTTTTTCTTACTTTCTTTAGTTCTATTATTTTAATTGTCAATATTTATAAATATACAAAAAATAGTTACTAGACTTGACTCGATTAAGGTACTAGGTTATCGGGTTACTAATCGGACCAGTGAACCAATAGTCGAACCGGTGGGTCATTACTTCAAAATTATCTAAAAAAATTTAAAGTATAACTTTTTTTTCTTGAGACAATTAAAATTTTCAAGTTTTTTGTTACAAATTATTTTTATACATTTAAATTAA